TGGACTCCTGGATCTGCCAGACAGTCCTCTGCCTCTGGGTTTTTCCTGTTTCCATGGGGAAACTTTTCTTCCATCTCCTCTCTCTCTCTCTGTCTCTCACTTCCTTCAGTTCATAAAACCATCTTTGTGAAGATTTCTTTGACACTCTAAAGCGTCATTGAACATCCTATCTGCGCATCCTGGGAAGGCTTTAGACTGAATAAGGAAAACTGAGTGGGACTGAGTGATCCCAACTCCCTCTGGAGCTTGGGATCAGCTGGTCTCATGGCGATAGAGGCAGGAGAGGAATAGAGTCAGCGGAAGGCACTGTGGGACACATATGGAATTGTGCGCTTATTTCAGGTGCCTTCTTTGCATTAGCTATGTCAAATATTCCTGAACATTCCATCTTCATGTGGGTTTATAGCTTGGCATCCCTGGTGAGAGTTAGATGAAAAGGAGTGGAGTGCCTGCTTCCTTGTGGCAGCAGGTAGACTTTGGGTCCCTCACAAGGGGTCATGTCTCCATGGCTACATCGCCAGGAAGGAGCCACTGTATAAAGACAGCATCTTACATCCTGATGAGAAGGCTAACTGCCCACACCTCATAGGGAACTCAATGATCTCAGTGGGAAAAGGCAGTGCTATTTATACAAGGAGAGACAGAGGCTCAGATCAAATGACATCTCAATGTCATTGTACACTAAGTGCAATTCAAAACCTGGACTCTACGCCCAAGAACAATGTTTCTTCCAACATACCAGGACATCAGTGCCTATTACTAATGCACACTCAAGTGATTATCAGACCGCAAGCCCAGAATCCTCATGTTTAATAAACTTTTCGTATTTGTTAGGGAACTTGGTGTCACAGTGGCTAAGTGCTAGGCTGCTAACTGGTGGAACAGCAGTTCGAACTCACCAGCTGTTTACCAGAGAAAATGGAGCAGTCCGCTTTTATCATGATTTAGTCTTGGGCTCCTGCTTCTCAGAGGTGACAGCCTGAGACCCCACAGACCAGCCACCCAGAGCGGCTCAGAGGCAGTGAATAATAGCTCTTCCAGTCTGCAATTAAAACAAAGAAAAGGCCTCCAATAAAACTACATGGGAAAAATGGGTAAGAAACAGAATGGAACGAGTACAGAAAGCTGAAGAGGCTGACCCTGAAGGATTTGTTGCCTGAAAAGGACTAGACTGATGTTGTTGTGAATGGGAGGATGGACAATTTCCTAAAATGGAAGGGATTTACAGATGTTGATAATATTTGGGAACCTGAAGACAATCCAGATTGTCTGGAATTAATTGAAGCATTTCTCGATTCTCAAAAAGCTGGTAAAGAAAGAGATGGCACAAAAAGAAAGATTGACAGCGATGACAGCAAGTCAAGGAAGCAGAGAGGTTGCTGACAAACCAAGGGGCTTGGCCGGAGGCCTTCGTCCTGGGGAGTAACTGGGGCCCAGACAGCAGCAGGCGGCTCACGTTGCTCACGGAAGTGAAAGGTTCACATGAGGCAGACCTGGTGCTGGCAAAAGATGCAAACACAAAATGCCCTTAAGTTGAAATAGTGTTTATGAAGAGAGACTAACTTGGCATGCTTATCCAGGAGATGAAGCTCAATAATGGTTTGTGTATATGTATATAATTGGGTTTGTTTTGTTTTTAATTATTAGTGTGAAGAACAACTACATTCTAATGGAAATCAAGTTCAATACATTTGTTTTGAAGTAGTATAGTAGTATTAGGGGAGTTGTTGGGGTTATTTTGTTATTGCATCAATAGCACTGGTTACTTTGAGCAAATAAATCTTTCTATAGTTGCTTCATTTATCAGAAAAGAACACTTGATACCATAGTATATTATTTCCTCTGCATTAGAGAATAGCTTTTCTAACTATTGGGAAATTCTACTTAGTCATTACTGAATCAGAACTTGTTTATCCATTAATGCATGCCTTAGGACCATTCTGGGGGGGTTTTGGTTCTGTTTGTGTGTGTGTGTATGTGTGTGTATGCATAAATATATATGTACACTTTATTTTATTTTACATTCACCAAAAACAAAACTATTCTAAACAAAAATAGCATTTAACAATCATGGGTCATTGTTTCGGGGAGGCTATCCTTCTGAACTATTCAAGTAGATCCACTCAAGTAAAAGATGGGGGGGGGCAGGGGGGTGTTAAGCCACAGCTTTCAAAGCAAATAAATGGCCCAGTAATTAAACAACTTAAAAAAAACTATCAAAATCAATACCTATAGAATCAAATAAATGAAAAATTATTTACAAAATCCCCTGAGTGAAAAAATCTTACTACTCAAAACCTCTCCCTACCCAAATAAAAAAACTAGACTAACATTACAGTATGTCTTCAATGTTAAGTGGGCATTTGTTCCTTGTATATAACCATACCTCTATGTTATATTGATTAAAAGGTCATGAATGATGGAATGTCCTTAAGACCTTGCTGGTGAAAACCTAGTAAGATGAATAGAAATGGAACTGTTTAGGACCAGTTGGTATAATTGGGTGAACAAACTGTCATCTCGGCTATTGATCTGTAAGGTCTGTTTTGTATCCCAGCCCATTCTCTACATGTAGGTTCAACCTTCCCAGTTTTGAGGTTACTCTAGTTCAGCTGCAGCCAGGAAACACAGGTCTTCAGCAATCAGAATGTTAATCCAATTGTACGTTGTTTACTTTATTGTAAATACTGGTGAACAGTGGTCAATAAATAGTTTTATATTATAATTTTTTTTTAAAGATTTAGCCTTGGGAACCCTCTAGAGCAGTTCTACTCTGTTCTGTAAGGTTACTATTGAGTCAGAATTGACTGAGAGTTGGCAAACCATGGCTTCCGAGTTATATGCTACTCTTCTAGTACATACATATGGCTCTGAAGGAACATTGAAAAATGTAAAGACTATTATTCAGATAATGGTGATTTCTTTTGTTTGTAAAAATATATTTATGGCTCTCAGTTTCATTTTTAAATTGTTGTGAGGGATAAAATTGGCTCTTCTGTCACACAAGTTTTCCGACCCCTGGACTAATGTTAGTGTATGGGGTTAGAAGTTTTTGAGAATGCAATCTTAATATAATACTCCCAGTGCTGTTTCCAGGATCAGTTACATATTTATTTACTACCAGGAACTCTGGGTAGAAAAGGCAAGTGCAGTTATATATATATATATAGGTTATAATTTATTTCATAGCACCTCATTTATAGCATTTTCAAGTACAACATTTTGCTCAACATCATTTTTACTTAAAAAACAGACACAACTTGGTAAGGCACCAGGTTATAAGAGAAGACCTTGCTCTCATTTTGGCTCATGGAATAATACGTGTGTAGTTTCTGTTAAGTATGCCAAAAACAAAGAACAGCATCAAAAAATGTTCATTGTTATATACATGGTAAAAAGGGGCAGAAAAACAGTTTGGGCATATATCATATCTTTAAAACTATGATGTTAGCCTACACTTTGGATGTTAACATAGCATTCTCTAAAGCACATTTCTGACAAAAATCTTCCCTGCATACAGAGTTGCACACGTAATAGTCTTTGCACTTTGAAGTGAATCAATTTGATACTTAACTCAAACACATATTTTAAATGCATTTTCCATCCAAATCCATGTTCACATAAAAGTTCAGTAAATCTTGACTACAACCACAACTTTATACTACTCTATAAAATAAAGCAACGTATTTAAAACTGTTGCATTTAATTATCATCCCACTAGATTTCCAGCCCTAATAGTCCCGGCTGTATAATTTCTTTACTTTCTCAGTTTTCCAGCACAGCATTAGGGACCACACAAGCCTTTTCTTCATTACAGGCTTTGCCCAAGTACCCTTAAGGTAGAGGATTCAGAAGGCTTAGCCCAGAGGCACGAAGTGCAGCCCAAATACATTGTCATATGAATAAAACATCTTTAAGTTTTCTGTTGTCCCTTAAAAATTCATTTTCACAGTACTGTATGACATTGACTTTCCTATGAAAATACGTAAACTCACTTACCAGTTAAATAACCACCCCACCCGTCTTCCTGCTCCCATTCCCTAGGAAATTGTCCCATGTTCTTTGTACATCGAGGCAGGGAAAGCCCACGTGGAATGGCTTTCCATAAATATGTAAGCTAGGCATGGCAAGATTAAAATGCATTTAATTACATTTATTTTATGCAGCTTCACAAATGAAATTATTTTAATCATTTGAGTTGCAACTAATTGCTTCAGAAAACTATGGCATAATCAATTTCAAAGTGTAAACAGTCTATGTATTTTAGTGATTTAAATATTAACTTTTATCAAAGAAATTCTTTAATTTGATTTATCAACAGGAATAAAAGAAACCTCAATCTAAAGTGTAATGTGATCTTTAACTCTTTTCTATAGAAAAACACCAATTGGATTTTTTAAAGTTAAAAACACAATCCAGACTCCAGAAAAAGATCAAATTCGTCTACCCACTGACTTTCACAAGGTTTTCCGAGTAAGTTATTGCATTGATTTTGAATAAATGTGCTTAACCCAATGCGAGCTTGGCATCACAATTCAGTATCTTTGGACTGTCTTTTGGCATATCCCAAACATACCTAGCACATGATAAAAGCTGTCTCCTGCTATGGTATTTCTTTTTTCCTCCAAAGGAGCAAACCCTAAAGACTACCTTGAAGGACAGACACATTTCATGAATATGTGGTTTTCTTAGTGAAGCAGCAGGATGTAAGAGATGTGGTCCCAGCACCCCTTGTTTTTGGCCAGCCTACAGAGGACCAACCCCCTGGGATCATTCACAAAATCATCTGGGAATTCAATGAACAGTTTAACTAGGTGTTAGGATTGTTTTATTTTTGCTTTAAGGTGGCCAAAAAAAAAAGAATGTCCAAATTATGATCCATTTAAAGTTAAACCCACTTCCATGGAGTCAGTGCTGACTCAGTGATCCCACTGTGGGTTTCTGAGAGTGTAACTGTTTACAGAGTAGAAAAGCCCAGTGCTTCTCCCTCAAAGCTGGTGGTGATTTTGAACTTCTGACCATGTGGATTGCAGCCCAGCGTATACCCACTACAACACCAGGGCTCCTTAAAGTTATCTCTAGGGAAGGATAAAAGAGATGTCTTAAAAACAAAAAAAAAACAAAAAACTTACCTTCTCTGAAGCCATTCTTTCTTAAAATCTGTCTTTTATGGTCTTGCTTCTTCCCCTCCCCCACACCCCCATTAACTTTTTAAAATACTGTATCAGCCGTAAACACAGCTATCTATAAATACATGTGAGTATATAGGTGTGGTTGTGGGTGTGCACACTGAAAACATTTTTTGGCTGATAAGAATAGGTGTGTTTAATGTTTCCTAAACAAGAATATTCACTTTCCTACAGATAGGGCAATTCAAGCACAGACGGTTAGTACTTCCTATTCCTCTACTTAGGGTGGAAGCAGTTTAGTCCACACGCCACAGTACCCAGATGCCAAGACTCCGTTTTACAGAGCATGAAAAGGCTCCTGAGGAACACCTTCGTGCACTACACGCATGTTGCCTGTGTTTACACGCTGTAACACAGTGGTCTCAGAATAAAAGCCCCCAATACAAATTTCAATAGCTTGCTTGTTAGTGAGTTGTTTATAAATTTTCATCAACCAGGTATGACAAAAACTAAATTAGTGGATGTTTTGGGTTGCACAGAGAAAGGCCTTTTATTTTCTCATCATTTAGTTCTTGAAGAAATAAAATAAAGCATGGCGTTGACGTGGGATTTCAAAGTTAAGTTCTATGGTTGACCTGCACATAAATTATTAAACTAACAAAACAAACAAACAAAAAACTAACAAAGCAAATGACCTTATTGCCAAGGGGTTGATTCGACTCACTGACCAGGGATGATAAAACAGAACTGTCCCAAAGGATTCCCAAGGCTGTAATCTTTATGGGAGCGGAATGCCACATGGTACTGCCATGAAGTGGCTGGTGGGCTCAAACACACGACCTTTGAGTTAACAGCCAAACCTTTAACCACTGCACCACTGGGGCTCCTTCACTGCGCATGAATCAACCTTGGATCAAGGACAAGATCATCACTTTCCCCCTTTTTCTTCTATACATTATAATATAGCAAAATATCATTCTTGACATCCATATCTGAGGTGTCTTTTTTATGTGAGATATAATCAATTCAAGAGGTGTGGAACTCTAAATTTCCAGAGTCGTGAAATATTCTAAACTTATTTCAGAAGTATTTTGCATAAGTATCTTATTCCTACCTCAAAAAACAAGAGGATTAAAGGCAAGAAAGAATACAGATATAGAGAATTCCACTTGTCACACACATGTTCTCCATACAGGTTCTACACAGTGAAAGGAATTATTTCAGCTAATATAGCATCTAGTAGTGATTTCATCTGAAAATAGCTTTTCTGAGTTTCCTGCCAGGATTATACAAAACAACAGTATTTCTTCCACCAGGACTTGGAGAGATTTTTCACCTTGTCCGGAGTCCGACTCTTGGACTTCTTTGGCTGCTGCTGCGTGTCCGAGTACTGAATGCCAGCAACGATGGCCGTGTCAAAGACGTCTTTGAGGTTTTTCTGAGTCAAGGCCGAGCATTCTATGTAAGATGAGGCTTTGATTTCTTCTGCGCATAACTTTGCCGCCTCTTCAGGCACTGGCTTCTCTTTGCATTTGTCTAATTCTATGAGGACTTTGACATCTTCTCGGAGATCTGACTGCGTGCCAACGAGGATAATAGGCGCTTTGGGGCAATGGCACCGAATCTCAGGTACCCACTTCTCAGTCACATTCTGGAAAGACGACGGGCTCACCACACTGAAGCACAGCAGGAAGATGTCTGTATTCGTGTAGCAGAGGGGCCTGAGCTTGTCGAACTCATCCTGCAACCAAGACAAGGATCCAGCAGTTATTTTTCTCATCAAGTTTTCATCAGCAAAAAAAGACCAGTCATAACCTTTTCCTTAAAAGCATTCTGAGAGTTGATAGACACCCAATGGATTATAAATGGAAAAGATAAGACACCATCCTCCTATCTAAGTGGGATCCATGCTCCCAACTTGACAGGTCTTCTTGCAGGGTCAGCTGTGACCGTAAAACCCACACCAAACCCAGAGCCATCAGTCCATTCCAACACTTAAAGACCGGCCTTATGTCAGGTTTCCGTGGCTGGAAACACTTACAGGAACAGAGGGCCGCCTCTCTTTTTTTTTTTTTTTAACATTTTATTAGGGGCTCATACAACTGTTATCCCAATCCATACACACATCAATTGTGTAAAGCGCATTTGTACATTGTTTCTCAAAACATTTTCTCTCCACCCAAACCCCCGACATTAGGTCCTCATTTTTCCCCTCCCTCCACGCTCCCCCCTACCGCATGAGCCCTTGATAGTTTATAAATGGGTATTTTGTCATATCTTGCCCTGTCCGACGTCTCCCTTCATCCACTTTTCGGTTGTCTGTCCCCCAGGGAGGAGGTCACACACAGTTCCATGTAATCGGTTCCCTCCTTCCTACCCATTCTCCCTTTACCCTCCCTGTTTTGCCACTCACACCACTGGTCCTATAGGGCTCATCCGTCCTGGATTCCCTGTATTTCCAGTTCCCATCTGTACCAGTGTACCTCCTCTGGTCTAGCCAGTCCTGCAAGATCGAATTTGAGTCATGGTAGTGGGAGCGGGGAGGAAACATTTAGGAACTAGAGGAAAGTTGTATTTCTCATCATCGCTACATCACAGGGGCCGCCTCTCTTAAGGAGCTGCTCCTGGGTTTGAATTTCCAACCTTGCGGCCCACCACTTCTCTAACAACTGCCAACTCTGACACCGTCACTATTTTATAAATAAAAACATAGCTTTTAACCCAGAGAACTTCAGACGTACTCTCTCAACGTTGGATACTTAGCTACTTTGAAAAACATGACAGCATCTAGGCGGGTCCCTGGACTTCCACCTGACACCAGTGAATCACAGTCCGTCAGGACGCCAGCCTCTGGCAGCTGTGAAGGATGCAGCATGCAGATAGTCATCTCACCTGCACTGCCCCCACACAATACAGACGATAATGTTAACCAGATGAACTGGACAGCCCAGAAATGGAGTTGAAGACCTTTGTTAGATCCGCCTCGCACTGGCAGCTCAGAGAGCATGTGACTCTGTGCTGCTGACAGCACTGCTTAGTGCCTTCTCCTTGTTTGATCTATGAGTCCCTCCTTTCTTCTTGTCTCATCTGCTCTTTCTGGTACATATTTAATGCTATGCGTAATTTCACAACAGCGAGAAAAAAGGTGTCCAATCCTTCTGTCGCCCAGCTTGCATTACTTTCAAGCGAACGCATTTGCATTAGTCTCTGCCTGTGGCTTTTTCTCTAGGTATAAAGGAAACCGTGCCTCTTTTCTTTGAAGGAAGTTCCTTTGAGACTCATATTACAATTGTGGGGCAGCAACCACTAATCAATACTAAAGCCAATGACCCAAAAGGATCAGAAATGAGTACAGTCATTTGCCAGGCTTCTCAAAGAGAAAAGCCAAAAGGACAGCTTAAGTTTCATGGTGCCACGTTTGTGCTGGAAGAATAAACAGAGAAACTCAACCAGGTAGATTCTAGCTCAGCTCTGAATGGATTTTAACTGTTCCCTGGGTTATCTGAAGATCTCTCTCTTACTCTCCCCCTCCCTCTCTCTCT